CTGCTATATAAACTGTACAAATCATGTTTTGGATTACTTTTAAATCATCTTTATCTTTTCTCTATTATAAGTTAGAATTACTGACACAGAATGAGTTGTGTGAAATGTACTTGTATCTATCTCTGTGTGTGTGTGTGTGTGTGTGTGTGTAATAAGTACCTCTGGTGACTCATTTATATTTGCAGAAAGAAAGTATAGTCACTCTAATTTCTATCTCTTCTTTTGATAAAAAAAGAGAATATTAAGGTATAAGGCCCGGCATGGCCAGGTGGTTAGGGCGCTTGACTCGGAATCTGAGGGTCGTGGGTTCGATTCCCGTCACACCAAACATGCTCGCCCTTTCAGCCGTGGGGGCCTTATAATGTGATGGTCAATCCCACTATTCGTTGGTAAAAGAGTAGCCCAAGAGTTGGTGGTGGGTGGTGATGACTAGCTGCCTTCCCTCTAGTCTTACACTGCTAAATTAGGGACGGCTAGCACAGATAGCCCCCGTGTAGCTTTGCGCGAAATTCAAAAACAAACAAACAATTAAGGTATAAACCAAGACACACTGAACTCTGTTTTTTGTGATTCCAGCAATATTTAGTAGATATAGAAAACTCAATTTTATGGGATGTGTTGCAATCAGTAGTTGAATAGCAATGCCAAGTAGTGCCTGGATTGCAGTAGTAGAGATTGTTGTGTAACTCTAGCTGTTGACATGAGAAGGTTAGTTAATCCTGTAATGATATTAATTTTTAAGATGTTCTTATTTATCAAATGAATGTACTTAACCCTCAAAAAAAAGAAAAAAAATTTGTCTGGTCAGTTATTTTCCAGTTTAATGTATTAGCAATGTACGTTTTTAGGGTTAATTGTAAATTAAGGCATTGATTACAATTGGAAATATCTACATGAAAGAAATAAGTGAACCTGGTGACATTCGAGTTCCTCCAATAAAATTAAGCGGAGTACATCTGGGATTAAGATCTGTCTGTACAAAATATAAGTTGAGTACAAGTGGGATTCAGATCCCTTTGATAAAGCTGAGTTCAACTAGGATTTTAGCTCAAAATACAGAAGCTAAGCCTAAGTAAGATTCAAATATCTGTAATAAAGATTTGACTTCATATAAGATATAAATTTATTTAACACAGTGTAATCTTAGAATGAGTAGAATTCAGATCCCTGTTGTAACACTAAAGCTGAATCCGAGTTTATTTTAATAATCTGAGCCTAGGGTTGCCATCTGTTCTACTTATAGATATAATGTGTTTTACTACCAACTGTTGTGAAAGTGTTCATTTACTTAAGTTAGGGGCCATCAGTGTGGCAAGGGGTGGTGGGTTAAAAAGTGGCTTAAATGGTGTATTCTTTATGGATACCCCCCCCCCCTAAAAAAACTTCCATTTCAAAGTACCTGTTTTATTTTCTTTCTCAGTATCACAAATACAATGTACAGAAAACTTCTTTTATTGATGGTATATTTAAAATTTTGTTTGACTCACCACAGTGTTAGTGGACTCAAGAATTCCGTGATGATGTTGGTGAGATAGGGAGATACAGATGAAAGAGTTGTCTAACTTAGAAAGAAATCTGTGTTAATATTTATAAGACAAGTGTTACTGTCCACTGTGTTATCTTATTGGAGAATAACTCAGTGTTGATATTTTGTTCACTGTGTTATTTGATTGGAGGATAACTCAGTGTTGGTATTTTGTCGGCTGTGTTATCTAATTGGTGGATAACTCAGTGTTGATATTTTGTCGACTGTGTTATCTGATTGGAGGATAACTCAGTGTTGATATTTTGTCCACTGTGTTATCTGATTGGAGGATAACTCAGTGTTGATATTTTGTCCACT